TGTTTTTGGGGCGGGGCGGGGCCTCCCCCGGGCGCCGTTTCTTGTTCTTGATGAGGATTCGGCCCAGCAGGTCCTGGGGGCTGGGCAGGGGCACCCCCGGCTCCAGCTGCGCCAAAAAAAACCCCAAAAATCACCCCAAAATCACCCCAAGTATAACCCAAAAAATCCCCAAAAATCACCCCAAAATCACCCAAAAAATCCCAAAAAAAATCACCCCAAAAATCACCCAAAATTCCCCACACATCCCCCAAAACCCCCAGCTCCAGCTGCTCCCAGAAACCCCCAAATTCCCCCCAAATCCTCCCAAACCCCCAGACCCCAAACCCCCCCAAATTCCCCCCAAAATCCCCCAAATTCCCCCAGACCCACCGGGTATTTCTCCAGGGGCTCTGTCAGCAGCGCGGCCCCGAAGATGCTCCTGCAGTACTCGGCCATCTTGGCCTGCTGCCGTGCCCTGGGGGGGATTTGGGGTCTGGGGTGGGACCCCAAAACGACCCGGAAATCCCAAAAACCCACCCAGAAATCCCACCCAGAAATCCCAAAAATCCGCCCCAAAAAACTCACCCAGAAACCCCAAAAATTGCACCAGAAAACCCCAAAAACCGACCCGGAAATCCCAAAAAACCGCCTGGAAAACCCCCCCAAAACGACCCAGAAACCCCAAAAACCCACCCAGAAATCCCACCCAGAAATCCCAAAAACTGCACCAAAAAAAACCCCTAAAACTGCCCCGGAAATCCCAAAAAAACGCCTGGAAAAACCCCAAAAACCACTCTGGAAAAACCCCAAAAATCGACCCAGAAACCCTAAAAATCGACCCAGAAATCCCAAAAATCCTCCCTGAAAAACCCACACAGAAATCCCAAAAACTGCACCAAAAAACCTCTAAAACTGCCCTGGAAATCCCAAAGAAACACCTGGAAAAACCCCAAAAACCACCCTGGAAAAACCCCAAAAATCGACCCAGAAATCCCAGAAAAACGCCTGGAAAAAAACCCAAAAACCGACCCAGAAACCCCAAAAACCGACCCAGAAATCCCAAAAAACGTCTGGAAAAACCCCAAAAGCCGCCCCAAAAACCGGGGAAAAACCACCTCAGACACGGAAAAAACCCCCAATAAACCCCAAAAACGACCCCAAGGGGGAACCCCGGAAACGCCCCGGGCTGGGTGTGGGATGTGGGGATTTTTTGGGATTTTTTGGGATTTTTTGGGGATTTTTTTTGGGGATTTTTTGGGGATTTTTTTGGGGTTTTTGGCTCACGAGTCCACGTGGTTCTCGAAGCTCAGGATCACCGGGAACGGCGACGTTTTGAAGGCGCTCTCAGCGATGGCCTCGATCACCTCCTGCAAAAACGGGGCCAGGGACCCCCAAAAATCCCCAAAAATCCCAAAAAAACGACCCCAAACCCCCCCCCAGGGACCCCAAATAACAGAACCCGAACCTGCGACCCCAGAGGAGGCTCGGGGGGATGGGGGGGGGGGCGGATTTAGGGATTGATTTGGGGTCAGGGACAGCTCTGGGGGGTTTGGGGTCGTTTTGGTGGTTTTGGGGTGATTTTTGGGGTCGTTTTTGGGGTGGTTTTAAGGTGGCTCTGGGGTGATTTTTGAGTGGTTTTTTGTGTGGTTTTGGGGTGATTTTTGGGTGATTTTGGGGTGGTTTCAAGGTGGTTTCAGGGTGGTTTTGGGGTGGTTTTTGGGGTCGTTTTTGGGTGGTTTCAGGTTGGGTTTTTGAGGTGGTTTTTGGGTCGTTTTGGGGTGGTTTTGAGGTGGTTTTTGGGTGATTTTTGGGTGGTTTTTAGTGTGATTACAGGTTGGTTTTTAAGGCGGTTTCAGGGTGGTTTTTGGGGTGGTTTTTGGGTCGTTTC